GTGGGACTCGATCCCAGGACTCTGGGATCATGACCTGAGCCCAAGGCATACGCTTAACGACTGAGCCACCCAGGCGTCCCTGTGGATTTTTTTTGTACAGTACCATAAATGTATTTTCTCTTCCTTATTATTTTAACATTTTCTTTTTCCTAGCTTACCTTATTGTAAGTATACAGTGTATCATATGACATACAAAATATGTATAATTAATTATTATGTTTGTGTTAGGGCTTCTTCTGGTCAACAGTAGGCTATTAGTAGTTATATTTTGGGGGGAGTCAAAAGTTATATGTGGATTTTCCAGTGTGTGTTTGGGGGTGGGTGGCCAGTGTCCCTAACCCCTGTGTTAGTTAGAAGTACAGTTGACCCCCTAACTAAGAAAACCAAGGCATCAAATAATTGAGTAGGCTCAGATCATATACACAAGTTAGTAAAAGGTCAGAATTAAAACTGTTTGCTTTTTGTTTTTAATTTAAGTCTAGTTCTGTCTGTACTTTACAGGCTGCCTTCTATTTTTCATATCTATTAGCATTCCCCAATTGAGGATTAGGATTTTAAGTACAGTCTATAAATCTGTTCAAAGAATAGTGAGAACGTTGACTTAAAGTTAGGACTTTGCTGTACTCAGCTGCTGAAGTACAGTATCCAGCCTTTACAAAAGAAATACTATTACTTGTTCTCAGTACCTTGTATAATGTATTTAAATGAATGAACTAATTAATAGAACACTTTATAAAGTCTTTCAAAACGTTTTTCGAGCCTACCTCATTATTGTGGAAATTGCCTGCATCTGATTTGGCAAATAAATTGAATTCCAAAACCTTTATACATTTGTAAATATTTTGTTCTTACTATTGCTGTACTTTGTTCAATAGGCAAATAAGTTGTTAATTGACCTTATTAGAGCGAAGGGAATGGTGAAAGGTAACTTAATGACAATTCACTAAGTAACAGAAATACTCTAAATTGATGAGGTTATCCCCATCCCCCTAGTGATTTCCTCTCTGAGACAAAAGGCTGTACAAGTCTTTCATATACATCAATTAAGTCTTTTAACTTCGTACAATACTAGCCCAGAAACAATAGCTAACAACTACTAAGCATTACCTATGCACCAAGTACTGTGCTTCATGTATTGTGTATTATTACCTAATCTTTACAATGCTAGTATTATTTCCCCTATTTTAGCAGATGGAGAAGCTGAAGCATAGGGAGGTTAACTAACTTGCAGAAGGTCAATACAACTTAAAAGTAGCAGAGTGGACTTGAACCCAAGTGGTCAGAATCCATGCTCCAGAGTTGAATATCAAACTGTCGAGCTAATAAACAACAGGCTGTGTAGAACCAAGTCTGAGTAATCAAACTTCTTAAGATTTCCCGGAAGTTTTACAGATCGAGTGTCTACTTATTTTATGGCATATAAATGACATCAACTTAATAACCTTATTTATATCCTTGAGAGAAGTTCTGAGAAATTCATTATGTAGAACATCATTTGACTATTAACTACCTTCCTTTTAAACAGATATTAATGGTATCGAATACATTTACATCATAGTTGGAATGCACTATTAGTATTCCTTAATTTCATTCACTAAATATTTGAACTAAGCTTCTTATCTTTAGGCTGTCAACTGGTGGTAATTATTTCAAAATCCAATTAAGGTGACAGAAAACTTGTCAAAAAGCTAAGAAAATTAAAAAATTGTATCCAGTGAGCTTTATAGCTGTCATTTTCTAGTGGACATCAAGAGTTCAGTTACCAGGTATCACATTTAAAACTTTAGGGTGGGCCTAGATTTAAATAATGAAATAACCCCATACATTCACTTACCCACTCTGAGGGAAAAGGGGGAGGAGTTAAAATGTTGATAGAGGCTGCATATTTGACTAACTAGTGGCAAGAATCTTACCACTTTCCATGTATGAATAAAAACATCATTTGTACCCATATTTAATATTTATAACCTAGCATATCAATGTACAGTACTAGGAAAAAATTCTTCTACCTGCAAATTAAAATCCTCTTCACCTAGATCATGCCAACTGTAGACCCCTGGCCAAATCCAACTGCCGCCTGTTTCTGTATGCTTCATGAGCTAAGATTGATGTCTACATTTTTTTAAGGTTGAAAAAAGCCAAAATCATGTACTTCTTAACAAGTGAAAAGCATATGACATTCAAATTTCAGTGTCCATAAATAAAGTTGTTTTGGCATACAGTGTTTCTGTATTGTTTATGGCTGCTCTGGGGGGCTACTACGACAGAGTTGAGCAGCAAAAGAGACCTTATGACTTGCAAAGCCTAAAATACTGTCTGGTCCTTTACCGAAAGCTTTCTGACCCTTCACCTACATACTCCTCACTTGGAAGGGAGAGAGGAGAAGAAAACTAGAAGTCCCAAACTGGCAATCCCTGCCTGAATTAGCCCCCAAGGTCTTGCAGAGAGGAAGTCTGGTTGAGTTTCAAAAACCATTTTTAAGTGCCTTTAGATAAGGGATGAGGGCTCCAATTCATTACTTTCCTACACTTCTTACCATTTATTACCTTCATCTATTTATATTACCTGCCTCGCTTCTGAAGGCATTTGAGTTTGTAATGAATTAGATAAGTGGTCCTCAAACTTGTTCTGTAGGGCTGTCAGTAACTATTTTAGGCTTTGTGATCAAATAAGTTGGTACAATGTTTTTAATGAACAAAATTCAAAATATAATTGGGTATATATAATTGCATTGTTTTAACTCCTTTTTTGGGGAATAACATTGGTTCCTTTAATCGGGGTTCTAAGTGTTTCCTATCATCAAAATCAGTTATAAATGATTACCTGTTAATGGTTATCTATAATGAGATTTTACAAATTTCATCTCTAAAAATGTCTTTTCACACAAATAGATACTGCCAGAATACTGGCATCAGTCTAGAAGCCTAAGATTTTAACTGGGCATATTCATCACTTGGAAGGCATTTGTAAAACCCTATTAGATTCTTCCCTTGATATTTGCCTTATAGCATGTCATTACATAGTACATTAATCACTTCCAATTGCAGGTAGAAGCTCAATTATAGGTAAATGGATTTTGAAATATGTAAATTTCCTTTTATTTGCATTTTCACGAAGGTCCCAAAAATGTTGAACACAGAAATTGTATCCACTGCTTATTTGAGGGAAATCTTGTTTCTTGTTTCAATTTTCGATAGCGTGAGAAATGTGTAACACAAGATACTGCGATTCAAATGTCAGTTGTTGAAATGATGACCACAGTTTCACAATGAAGTTATGTTTGCCTAATATATATAGGTTAAAATCTTTAAGAATTACTATCAAGTCATTAGCAGAAGCTAATTTCCAGAGCCTTCCAGTGTTCTAGAATGTTTTGAGAGTGGTTTCTCTTGTTAAGAAAAATTTCAGTCTTGACCCTGAGCTCAAAAAATTGCAATCAAACTTCACAACTCCTAGGCAAATCAAATTTAGGTTGAGCAATTTCTGACAAAATTCAATCATGGTTAGAATCCACGAAAGCAAATGAAATTTACCATTAACACTACTGGTTCAGTAACACATGACAGATTCAAATATCTTCTGCAGGGTACTTGCTGGTGAATAATACAGTGAATAACCACAGGTTTTAAATATGTTACATTTTCACAAGCTTTATATATTTTTCCAACTAGATCTTTTTCTACTTTGCACGTTTTAACCAGAGTTGTAACACATCATAGCAGATTCTACTTCAGGTTGTACAGAATTGGTGTTTTCTCAACTTTTTAAAAAATACCCATAGTTGTTCCATACAGAGTATTCATAGAAGCTAATTCTTCAGTAACTCTAAATTCAGCACCGATGTCTCAAATAAACAAGACCTGAACATATTAGTAACATCTGCCAACTCATCAAGAGTCAATATCATTTACTTTCTGAATTGACTTGATTTTGCTCACAAAGTCCTAAACTCTGAGTAACTGTTCTTGCCAAAAGGCCAATAGTCCTACACAATTTTTCTCTGGATACATTTCTGTGGCTGGTGCATTCAAATACAATTAACTCACCATCAGTAGTAAACGGCTCTCCTTGCTTGGCTTACGAAAGAGTCACTTGGAGACTTCAGTTGCACCCTCATTTTCATTTTTTATTTTATGAAGAAATTCTGCTATGTTGAGATATTTCCAGATTAAATTTCTAGTTTTTCTGATAGTTGGCTTGCTTGTGAGGAAAATCCCATGATGAGTTCCTCTATTGGTAATGTCAACATATATTGTATTTTAGCTCAGGTATAGATGCTTTGTTATCTAATCCAGTATCAAAATAATTCACACTCATACAATGTGCCTTAAAAGCGCATTAGAAGTCCACTTTTCTTGTTTTGAAATAATGAATATACACTAGCAATAAAAAAATATTATAGCTTGGTGATTTACATGGCACTCAAAATGCTGTTGAGTTACAACCATGTCCCTGTGATTTGGAGTATGCCGAGTAGCAGTATGAACTGTTGATAATCACTTTCTGTGTGTTGTTAACTTCTCAACTGTGCTGTCATTACAGCATGAAAGCAGCCACAGACAGCATGTAAACAAATGAGCATGGTGTGTTCCAAAAAACTATGGACACTGAAATTCAAATTTCATATAATTTTCATGTCACAAGATTTAATTTTTTCAACCATTAGTATAAGAACCATTCTCCAGTCATCTGCCGTACAAAAACAGGTGGTATGCTAGATCTGGCCTGCCAGGCATAGTTTGCCATCCCTGATCTAAATAATTTCATTTTTAGAACTTATACAATGATAAGTTAGGGGTATTTATATAAAATTTAGGCACACTCTTCAACTGAGGATCACTGCAAAGTGGTATTAGTACTTTCTTAGCAATTATCCCACCTTCAAAAACTATTTTCTCAGGAGACAGTCAATATTTAAATATATTTAATGAAGAATTAGATATAATTTAGATTGTAAGATTATAACAGATAAACTATACTTAGTAGACTTATGTCATTTAAATTTTAATTTGATAATCTTCAACTTATAAGACAGCAAGGGTAAAATAGAAGTGTTCAATACTAAAGTTAACTGCTAAAATTTTATGAAATCATACAAATTATATTTCATTATGTAAAGGTCTAGTGGGGAGAGGGAGAAAACGTTTCCAATTAAGTGACTGAGGAAATTTGAGTTTTTTCTTCTGAAAAGACTTTATTTATCTGTCCTCTGGCGTTTAAGAGGTGGATCATCATGATTCTCTGTAATAAATCCAGAAAACCTAGATTAGTTAGAACACTTAACATTGGAAAATACTTTTAAAAAGCAAATAATATAGGCATTTTAAAGATTTTTAATACTCAACTTATACATCAAATAGTAACATTCCCATGGGAATTTATTATTTTAATGAAATATCCTTCTACTAGACTGAACAGTGCATATGCCATGCTAATATTTGTAAAATTGGGAGAAACGAGTCGCAACTGAGTGGCAAGGAATCCTGAATTGAAATATCTAACTAGAATTAGCTTAACATATTTCCAAATTTAATAAATAAAATATATTTAGCCTAAGAAAGCTCCATGAAGGCTATTATAGTTTACATTTAATTTCCCAGAAATTGCTCACCTAGATTTAGGGTCTGGTTCTTGTAGAGTACAGCAGCAGGAATCCGGAAGGTGATACATAATATTTCCTTGTTAGGGGCTACATTTCTTACTGGGTGAATTGAACTGCATGCCTCCAAGGAAATGCCTAACACAGCCCCAGCTCGTTGCTGAACATCCTTAGCAGGATTAGGATCTTTGGAAAAGCTGTAACAGTGCACTATGGGAAGGAGCTCAATGCTGCATGGTGGCCCATCCAAAAGCGATTTGAAAACACTGAGAAACTCAACAGCCTTTGCTGGCAAGTTCATGACAATGTGCACAGAGTGTTTTCTTTCTTTTGACAGTGGTCCCAGCTGCTGCATTAACTCTTTTCTGACTGGTCCTTGAAGGAAGTCTTTCCCATCCAAGTTAAAGACTTTCACCTTTTGGTCCACTTTATTTAATTTACAATTGTGCAACAGCCACTTATGGGATTCAGGATTGAGATCATTAGCAAATACAGTGCAGTTTTTCTTTGCTACTGGAACGGCAAAAGGCCCAACCCCAGCAAAAACATCAAATAGTACATCCCCAGGTTTGAGAAGTTCTGTAATACGACTGTGTTCTGTAGAGAGTCGAGGATTCCAATAGACTTTCGAAAAATCAAATTCATAGGTGTAGCTGTTTTCTCGAACCTGAAAAAGGCATTATACTTTGATTAACTAACCTGTTTAGTCTTAAATTCCAGCCATGAATACTGGATGGATATACCCACACACATACATTTACATTTAAGAGCAAATAACAGTGCATTTTAATTAGAATTCTGGTGTTTATGCTATCTTTGAGGCCAGTTAACAACCCATAGTAGACTCTGACATGAGAAAAGTCTCTCCATCTCATTCTAATGGGCCCTAAAGTGGTTCCCAAATCACATGAGGAATTTTTCAGAGAGACCAACTGACTGGCTTAATCATACTCTATTTTGTCACCTGATGGAGAGGGAAATAAACCTATAATTTGAAACAACACACGACACACATCTTCATGATGACTAGTCAAGTTACAGATAGCACTTCCACTCAGCAGATAAGCTTCCTTAGTTTTCAGTTTGTAAGAGGGAGGCATGATAGATCTGTTATGTACCAATGAATTTTGAGGTATTTTACTATGTTTTTAGATAGTTACTTGGACTTTGCAAGTTTCATATCTACAAATTAGAGCCAGTGTACAGAACAAATCATTCCGTTATTTTCTCTTTTCCCAAATTTGAGTTTCCATTGATTAAATATATACAGCGAAGCTAAGTCTTGAACACATTTAAGACTTCATGCCATTTCTTTTGGGACTATGATAAACATGACAGAAAATAGAAAACAAAATTAAAATTACAGTCATGGAATGTGACCTCAGCCATCATTTTAAGTCATGGAATGTGACCTCAGCCCTTATTTTAATGGATGAAGAATCAAAGAGCCAAAAAAGTTCCTAAGTTCCATAAATCTGATAGAGATATATTTTCTGTATTCTGCCTTCATGGAATATTCTGCCTTTAAATTTGTGTAAATATTTTTTCTTCCCAACCACATCAGATGCTCTGGCCATGTTAAGGCTCCAGAGTTGGAAATGTTCCTTCATTATTCTGCCAACTAAAACTCTTTCTAGATATACAAACTGGAAGGTTCTGAATATGTCTTGGGATGCTTTTCCTGAAATATCCTTTCTACTCCCCCTTTTTAATGTGAAGCACAGTACTAGTTTAAAAAAAAAATACATTCTAAGTATCCTTCTGGTTTTACTCACACTGTCTTTGATATCTCACTCACCCAGTCAGCATCAGGAATCTTTTTACTCACAATATACACACAAAGTACTTAGATGTTGCATGAGCTCCTAAAGTCAAACTTAAATGTGATTCTGTTTGGAGCAAAGAAATTATACTGAGTGAGTTTTTACATTTATTTTATGGTATAAATGCTAAGTATTAAATATATCTTTTTTATTTATTTATTTTTTTATTTTTTTAGATTTTTTTTTTTTT